GACTCCAAGATCAGTTCCCCTCAATGTCACAGCTGAGGGGCACAGTACGTGGCGCTGTTCTGCCACCCCCAACCGTGGGGCCACGCCTTCCGGTCCTCACCGGAGACAGGGCTGTTCCTTCCCTACCCGCAGCTCTTCCTCCTGCCTTTGCCTTTGCCGCCAACTCCGACCTCACAGTGAAGCTGTTCAGGGGTTCTGCCCTGCCCCCTAGAATTTCTTTTCCCCTAGAACTTGGAGGCAGGGAGTTTAGGGTCTGGGAGCAGAGTTGCTGTCATGCTGAGGGGAGGCCATAGCCTCTCAGCACGAAGGGAGGGTCCGCTGGGCCGAAGGTCTGCCAGTCACTATCACCAGATCAACATCTTCCTCGCCACTGCCTCCTTCCTTCCTATCTTCACCGCTGCCTTCATCCCACCGTCATCCTCCCCAGCGCCCCAGAGAATGGCAGGTGACAGGCACAAGGGCCGAGCTTTCCATGGTTAGCTTAGAAACATCCATGAAGACCCCACGAGGCTGGCTCTGTCACCACTCCTGTGCACAGGGGCAGAAGCAAGGACGCAGCAGGCAGCAGGCTCACTTCCGGTGGCGGCTGGCGGAGGGTGGCCCCAGACCCGATTCCAGGGCCGGCTCTCCATCACACTCTACGCCTTCTCTGGTGGGTCTGCTACCCAGAACGCACACGTCCCTCTTCACTGACAAAGGATGCCAGCTTTTCAGGGACACTCCACTGCTCCTTTAATTTATCCAACACCTGACAGAAGTCCTCGGGGATGCTTCCCATCCAGGAGAGGCTGTCAGGCCTGCTGCTACCTGTGCATCTCATTTTCTTCCTTCCAGCCCTCTCTGAGTCCAGACATCAGCTCTGCCCTTTGGGAATCCCAGGCTCATTGTCCAGTGTTCATTCAGAATTCTTGTGCTTGTGCCAGTGGTCACAGGGGACGGCATTTCCCTTATGCTTGTCAGTGTCATTGGCTTAACTTTAAGGCATGCGTTAAATTCTTCCTTGAAGCCAGCAATATTAGTACCAAAAAGAAAACTGTCTTTACCCTTGTGTTCAGGCCATGACTAAGCAGGTGTTTGTCTTTGCCCCGAGTGACAGGAGACACACTCAGGGCTGCGCTGCACTGACTAATTACCCTCACAGCCAGCGACACTGGTGGGTCCTCAGTGTCCTACTTTACACGGGGGTTAGCTTAGCTTCGCTTTCATTGTTATGTTTTGATTAAGTATTGCAGTATGCCTTAGGTGTTTCAAAACAGAGATAGCCCCAGGGAATGCTCTGAGGAGCACAGATTCAACGAGGCACCAGGAGGCGTCCAGGAAAGTGTCCCCAGGGAAGAAGTCTGAGCTGTCTGAGGACCACATCTTGGCCCCCAGCAGAGCACTGTTCTTCCATCACCCAGGTTTTGCCAGCAGAGGGATCTTTTAAACTATTCCATTCAGTGTTCTCCACAACTGTTGGAGCCAGAGGTGGTTTCTCACCTTGCAACCTCCTCCCCCATCTTCTGCAGGGTAGCAGGTGGGGGATGCTACCAGCTTGGGAGGCACAGACACAATGTGGAGTGGGCTGCTGTCACAGCACACCATGGAGTGGAGCCACGTGCAGTGACTGCGGCTTCTGCTGTGCTCAGCTTGGCATCCTGTGTGCCCCGGGCAGCCTTGGGGACGGTGATTTCTACCCATACACGAGTCACGCAAGACTCCTGAGGTGCGGAGGTCATGGGGAACCCCTGGAGGGCTCAGAGGGCCTACTTGTCTCCAGCCGCCAAGGGAAGCCCTGTGATTCCTTGGGTGGCCCCCAGGGCTGGTCCAGTATGGAAAGGCCTCAGAGGGTGAGACCACCAGCAGTGGATGAGGGGCCTGTGCTGCAGTTGTGCATCGCTTCCAAGACCCAGCATCTGGCTCACTCCAGATTTCTGCTGCTTTCTCTGTTTACGACCCTGGTGTTGTTACTAAAGTTCTTTGAGTGTGTGTGTGTGTGTGTGTGTGTGTGTGTGTACATGTGTTACTAGGCATTGAACCAAAGCCTTTGTGAATCCTCAGCCTTCTTTACTTTTTTCACTCTGAGAGAAGGTCTCACTACTAACTTATCCCTACTGAGCTCAAACTTGCAATCACCCTGCCTCCGCCTCCTAGAACGGTGAGGTCATAGGCATGGGCCATCAGGCCTCGTTTAACAGTAAACTCCACATTTGTAGAGCTGGTTAAGGAAACCAAACTCACACGGTCAGGTCAGGGGACAGAGGGAGACAGGAGCACGCCACGGTGGCACAGCCAAGGCTCAGCACCTCGGGGGCTCCTCACTAGGCCAGTGGCCAGGGGTCAAGTGTGAGGCCCTGGCTCTGACCCCCAGAGAAGCCAAGACCTCAGCACACTTCTGTCAGACGCACAGAGCAAATGACATCCTGGCTTGTGCACGACTTCAGCAGCTGCTGTGACCTTATGTCTTCAGCCCTTCCCCAGACATCGCTCCTGCAGAACGGGCGCGAAGCCACCCACAATCCATAACCGCAGAAGCACAGGACTCAGGAATAAATAATGACTCTCCGAGACCAGCTAACTTGGTTGGTATTTATAAGTTCCTGGCCACCTTGTTATTGCCAAGGACATCTGCCTCACCTCCTGGTTGCCCTGCTCAGCCTGCCCTCGCAATCTGTACTTACTGAAAAAAATAGCCATTGTCATGCTAAAAGCACAATGGGGCTTGCATGCTGCAGCACTAAATAACACCCATAAAACTATGAAAATGGCACGCTGGCATTAAAAGTTATTTTCTTGTGGACTTTTGTAAGATTCAATGCTTTTGTTCTCAAGAGCTCTGCTCTGGTATTTCAACTTCACACACACACACACACACACACACACACACACACCCCCAAACCCAAAACAAAACACCAGACAGAATTCCTGCAGAATGCCATCATCTCTCCCACAAAGGAGCACTTTGATTTTTGCAAATCAGGGAGCTAGCAACCACTGCAGTACACAGATTAATACTGATCCGCAATCATGGCTGCAGCCCTTGCAGTGGTGTTCAGCAGAAATTTACCTCTTTCTTGGTGAATTTTGGTGAGTGGTCATTTTTGTCGTCAATCACTATTGTGGCCGTTGCTGTGCCTGTTAACCCCACGTCCAGACCAGCCATATCTTGAGCTTCGATGATCAACTCGTACTTGGGGTTTTCCAGAGTCTGCAAAGCAAAACACAGCAGAAATGGCATTTATTTATTTATTTATTTATTTATTTATTTATTTATTTATGGGAGCCAGGGAGATAGCTCAGTGGTATAAGTGTCTGCCTTGCAAGTGCAAGGTCCTGAGTTTGATCCCAGTTCAAAAAAACAAACAAACAAAAAACCCTCAGATTTACTTAATTTAGGACAGGGTCTAAAGGGTCTACAGGGTTTCACTAGATAGATCAGATTCGCAGTGATTCTCCTGTTTTTAGCTTCCCAAGGGCTGGGGTTAGAGGCACGTGCCACCACTCTCAGTCTCAATCACTGTCTCGGAGTGTCCCTGGAGTGGGCCTGGCACAGGCACACTGGGGATTGAACCCCAGCAGCTGCGCTCTGCTGAAGCAGGTGCTTTATTCTGCTGAGCTATCTGGCCAGCCTAAATATGGCATTTAGATTTAGGTTACAGCCCAGGGAGATAGCTTAGCGGTCTAAGCGCTTGCCTGGCAAGCACAAGGACCCGGGTCTGATCACCAGTACTGTATACTGTGCTAGCCCCAGAGTCCTGGTACACCGTGCTGGCCACCAACACTGGGTGTGGTGGCACAGGCTGTAATCTCAGAGCTGGGGAGGATGAGACAGGAGGATCACTGGGAGTCCAAGCTGTGTAGTGAGACCCTATACCAAATGAGTACATAAATACAAGATTAAAAAACAAATTAGGTGTAGATTAGTGTTTGGGAATGTGGCCAGCAGTCCCCGCCCCAGGTGGATCTGTAATCAGTCACAGTGTTTTCACCTACTGGGTATAAAGCTTCCTTTGAAATCTCCCCAATATGACGGTCACTGTTCACAGATTGGAGATGGCCATGAGAGAGGGGACATGCGATATAGTTCAGAACATTCCATTCTGGGTTTGATGCTCCTAGCCACATCAGGCACTCCACAGTTGAATTCCTGAAGATGGACACCAAGCTACCTTGGGTGATGAAATCAGGATAAAGAAGGCAGCTTTGGGAGCTCACATTTGTTGAAATTTCTGGTGAACTAGGCTTTGAATTCCTGTACTTTATTAAAAAACGTTTATACTTAGTCATTCCAACAGGCATGTCAAACTGCACTGATTGTGCCCATTTTATCAAGTGAGGTTTTGGGTCACTTATGCTGGCATTGTCTGTTTAGTCTCCCAAAATGTGAAATTTGGGAAGTGGATTGTAATCCAACCACGATCTGATAAATTTAACATCAGAAGCACTGTACTGTCTGCTGCCTTTCATTGCCTGTGATTTTCACTTGGACTATTTGACAGATACTGGGCAACCGTTAAGCATCCCAAGCAACTACCTAGACAGCAGTGACACAGGGATGGAGAGACACTGGCTGGCAGCCAATGATGGTGCCCAGCTGAAGCACAGACACTCCTCGCCTGAGTCTTCTCCTGGTGCGGGCACCCACACTTCCTTTGGTGCTCCCCGACTGCTCTGCCTGTGCCATTTGGGTTGATTGTCTTCTTCTGCTTTCTGCCTAGCAGACTCGGCCAATGAGCCACTATCAGAGAGTGAGGTGGCCAGTGCAGGCCGGGCCCTGTGGGCAGCGGAGGGCAGGAGGAGCCGGGGGAGGGGGAGCGGTAGCTCCCAGGGGCTGTGGTGTGAGCCGAGACTGGCTCCATGGGGAGGCCGGGCGGGCCATCCTGCCCTGCAGTGGACATGGGCCACGAGCCAGCCTGAGAATAAAGCCAGGATGGTAGGAAAATTGCATGTGCACCTTGGAGAGAAACGACTGGTTCTCGGTGGCTGGGTTGGAGCGGCTTTGTCACACCGGGCTGCAGACCCCGCTGCCAAGGACTTTCCAGCTAATGAAGGCATTTATTTTCCTTATTTGCTTAAACCAATTTGGACTGGTTTCTTAATCACTCACACAGAGAGTCTGAATTGAACTGCGTTCAGCAACAAAAATAAAAGGTGTTTAAAATGGCACAAACAGCCCCACCAGTGTGACAGGTCCCAAACCCCTGGGTTATACCAAGCAATAATTAAGACAGTCCCTGAAGAGCAAAGCTCAGAAGAGCCATGGAGATCGCTGGGCTCCATCCACACCCGGGAGCTTCCACAGCAGAAGGACTAGCTTGAGGCTAGCTCTGCCCAAAACTTGCAATTCTCTTTGAAAGGTGGATAGCTGTTTACTCCCACAGGCCTTTATGGGTTATTTCTGTAACTGAAAGCTTCTGAGCTAGTAATTTAAGGAGTACTGGTTTGATCAGTTGGGTAAAATGGTACCCGATCATGGAGGGGATGCTGATGTGTTCCCGGGCAGCTCTGCATGTGACATTTTGGCTTACGCCAGCGCCAACAGAACGGATGTGCACAAAGTTGTCTAACTGCTGGGTGCACATGGAGTCTGGACAGCTGTGCTGTAATTCGCCCAGGGGACCACCCTTCCTCCAGGGAGTTCAGCAGGGCTGCCTCCGCCCTGATCTAGTTGTGGTCATGTGGCTCAGGCCTGGAAGTCAACAGGGCTTCCCGTTTCCAGGGCCATATGATGGCTGCATAAACCAAGTGGTCGCCCAGAGACTGAGGTTCAGTTCTGGACCTGACTGTTTTTCAGAACGCTTAGTGAAAAGCAGTTCTCTTTCTGTGGAAACTGACGGTGGCAGTCACCGATCTGGAGCTGGCCCTGGGGAATCTGGACCCACTCGGAGAAAGGCAGCCTGAGAATGCAGGCAGCACAGACTGAGGGCCAGAGGTGGCGTCCTCCGAACGTGGCTTGAGCCCACGTCCCAGCTGTCCTTTGGCCAGTTCGCCTTCCGATTTTGTGAACTCAAGGCACCAAGACATTTTCCCTTTCCTCGAGACACTTGATTTAGATGGTCAGTGAGCAGCAGCCAGGCAGTTTTGACTACTATTGCAACTAATGGGATGATCAATTATCTGGTTATTAACAAGGAAGAATAAGAGCTGTCCTACCGCAGCACTGTGCCCCAACAGACTCTTTATGATGGCATTCTAGGCATTTCATAAATTCATCTTTTTAACCATTTTCTCCTGTACAAAAATAATTCTTTTTGTTCAGAAAATGTTTTTTATTTTATTTTATTTAGTTGGCTGATGTGACCCCTTAACTGGCACACAGTGAGCAGCCTGTCCCACTGTTGTGCTGGGGGCCAGAGACAGTGGTGGGAGGCATCGGATCTCTTCCTAAGGAGGTCAAGGGACAAGCTGGGGGACAGCCCCACCCCCGCGGAGGTAACTTCTGCTCAAGTTGGTCTCTGTTAAGCAGAGGCCAGTGCACATTCCTGATAGCAGAGGATGGGCAGACTCTTCGGTGGGGCTCCTTTGTAGTCTGACAAAGTTTCTAAATAACTTCTAAAAATGAACCCATCAATTCCCATCTCCTGGAGTAAATAAAACTTTACAGCTATAATGGGAAATAGATTGATTAATCCAGTGGGGAATCAATTAGACTATGAAGCAGATAAATTATAGGGCTTGGGATGAGCTATTTCAACAACTTCAAATTTCTGGCTAGTGCTAAAAATGTTTTTATTACTAAAATATTTTTGCAACTGTGTAGGAAAATAAAAATGATGCAGTCATTTCTAAGGTGTAAATTTTGTATCCTTCTCCACCCTTGGGCCACTCTAGTCCTAAGGTGCAGGCAATATTGTTTGGTTGGTGTGTCTCCTGCCTTCATCTGGACATCACACACACACACACACACACACACACACACCCTGACACACACATACTCAGTACGCACATTTGCACACACACACACACACACACACACACACACATCCACAGAACCCCATCCCCCAGCTGTACGTTGCATTTTGCCGTCTCCCTCAGTCAACCGCCACCACTGGGGCTGCTTCCGAGTTCCACTATGACCTGCAACGCGAAGATCAAATGCTGCTGGTATTTTGTTTTTTTTCTATAATGAATATGAAATAGAACGATAACTTAAGGGGAGTAACCCATAGTAAAGGTACCCTCCTGCGAAATGCAAAAGACCAGCTCCGTATTTAAGAATGAGAGAAGACTCCACATGCATTGCTGAGCTTTCGCAGCTCCTTGCTCTCGGCATGTCATGCTGGCTGAACCTCCCCTGAGAAGCCCTGCCTGCTCCCGTGGTCACGCTGCCTGAGTGCGTAGGCTCAGTGCTGCCCACCTCCCTCGCAGGCCACTCTGCACTGGTTCCCCCGCCAGACCAGACCTTGGCTCGCCGGCAGCTAGCTATGGGTGACCTTCTTGGCAAAGCTCTCCTGATCCAAGAAATGGGCTCCAGTGGCCACAGGTCGTGTGCAACTCCCTCGGTGTCTAAGTTACTTTTCTTGTTGCTGAGATAACATACCCAATACCTGAAGTTACAGGAGGAAAGCTTCATTTGGCTCCCAGTGCACAGAGGTTTTAGCTCATAGCTGGTTGGCTCTAAGGCAGGGTGGCAGCAAGCAGCAAGCAGTGAGCAAGCGACGAGAGCAGCCCTCTTTCTGTCTCTTATATTTTATCCAGGCTGCCTACTGTTAGAGCAGGAAGCACTCACGCCCTCCATCTTAGCACTACACTGTGAATCTATCCCAGCATGGCGTCCTCGGCCTCGTGTCACACATGGTAGGTCCACCCACCTCTGAAAGCCCCTCTGATGACTGCACGAGGCTTCGTCTAGAAACCAGCCATGGCTCTCGGCCAGAGCTGGCAGACTCAACCCACTCCCCATCCAGGCTGGGACAGGCAGATTCTGAGAATATGGAATGTGAGTGGAGGGCCAATCCTCTTACTTTCCCCATACAACTCCAGGGTGCAAGGCATGTTTGTGTATGTGTTGCTTTCTTTCCTTCTTTCTTTTTAAAAAATGTATTTAGGACAGGGTCTGCTGGGTCTACAGGGTCTCACTACATAGATCGGAGTTGTAGTGAGCCTACTGTTTTCAGCCTCCCAAAACGCTGGGATTATAGGCATGTGCCACTACACCCAATCTCAATCACGATCTCAGCGTGCCCCGTGGGAGGGGCCAGCATGGTAGGCTGGGGACTGAACCCAGCCACTGTGTCTGCCTAAGCAGGCCCTTTAGTCTGTTGAGCTATCAGGCCGGCCCATGTGCTGCTTTCTGGAATATTTCAGGAGGAAAATCACTGCCCTCATGTTTCTCTGTCTTTATGAGAGGCACTGAACTCTGGGGGCAAGACCTTTGTCTGTCTAGCTGCTCTGTCACTAGGCAAATGGACTGAACAGGACAGAGAACAGCCCACGGCCCTCCCACGCTCAAACTGTGCTCTCCATGGGCTCCTGCTGCCTGTGTCTATCCGCCTCAAGGCTCAGAGACGAGGTGGGTGCCATCACCTCCAATCCTGTCTATCCAGCCTGAGCCTCAGAGGAGAGCTAGGCCTCCAACTCCAGCAAGCTTTCTGAAAGGTGCAAGCCCTGTTCTCAAAGCTTTGCTGTCCCTCCACCCGCCAGCTTCAGCTGTCTCCTGGGCTCCATACCGTATGCCAGTATGGGCCCCTGAGGTTCTCTGAGGTACAGAAGCAGCCAGAATCAGTGTGGGCTGCCAGGCACCAAACGCACCTGTGGTGGAGACAGTGCCATGTGTTCACCAAGTCCTACTTCCCTGGACTCGAGGAACAAGAAGTCAGGCCAATGGCCCATCTCCGTGCAGCGAGGCAAGCTACAGGACTGACGCTGACCAAAGGGTGAGGTGCACGTGGCGCCCTGAGCTTTCCTCAACCCCCATTTTCCACTTCCTTGAAAGGAAGAAGCCTGGCTCCCTGACCAGCTGCGTGAGCGGAGCCCCTTTCTAGTCCACTCTGTGCCGCATTCTGAGCTGGACTCAGGCCACTCTTCAGATTCAGGGACTGCTGCGGTGCTTAGCTCCCCTTCCCTCCAGGAGGCGAGAGCTGTGTTTCTCGTTGTTTATTCTGAATTCCATGTGCTAGCTCCCTAGGTGCACGGCACAAATTTCCAGTGCAGGAGCCATGCCTTTGCCCCCGAGGCCTCTCTAGGACTCAGCACCACAGGTGGCAATTTATTTTCATTCTTGGCAATGATGCTTTATTATT